TTCACCTGTAAACAGTCATATTATGAAAGGAGCACAGACATTAGAGTTAGCAAAGTTGGCCTTTCGCTTGGCAATCTTGCTATGTTGYCCAGGCTGGTCTCCAACTCCAGGACTCAAGTGATTCTCCTGCCTCAGCTCCTGGGGTAGCTAGAACTACAGGCATATGATACCATGCCCAGCTTAGCAGTGACTTTGACTCTGCTCTGTGAACTTAGTTTCATAAATTATCTAACCTCACTTTTTTCACATATAAATGAGGCAACACTTCTCAGCTTTGGGGAGAAACTTTTCCTCTTAGAGAGCATAGACATAAGAGCAGAGGTACAGTCAGGAACATTTAGTAAAGTGAGAAGGAGAAAGATACAGTATCTGATGATTGAGCTTCTCTGACGGGAAGAATAATCATGTTATATTCCTGATTAAAAGCACCAGAGTTTAGAGTTGAACTGTGGCTATGAAAGGACTTTGATCATTMAAACAGTGGTTTGACCCTAGCCAAAAGTTACCTACTTGGCAAAGTTTCATTTATATTGAATTTTAAAAGGCAGTGATAAATGGGTCAATTGTAAGCCTAATTCCAGTCAAGAATATGCAAATCTTTCATGAAGCTGGAATGGCCAGCAGAGTTGGGAAAAATTAACCATCATTTTAGTTAGTTAAGGATAGCTACAGAGGAAGACACCAGCAATCCTCAGGTATGTCACACATGTGCTAGGGAGTTGGAAGAGAAAAATTCTAGACCCAAACTAGGTCCAATCCTATGCCCATATAGAAGCTATAATCTTAATAAGGAAGATAAACAAMAAATATCTAAGAAAACGAGATTCCCATACAATGAAGAAGTAGCCTCTAAGCTTTACATCAATAGGGCATAATGAAAGTTTCTAGCCCATAATAAACTGTCCAGTTAAAATATGATGGACAACAAAAATTGGGTTTAATAAAGTGATTTGAGAAGTATGGGGGGGAAAAGAGGAAAATCAGAGAAGAAATGTATCCTTTGATGGCAGCGGATGGTCTAAGGTAATTTTACTCCCTGAATAGTCTTTTCCATCTCAGTAGATGGCAACTCCATCTCCCCAGTAGCAGACTCATCCTTGACTTCTCTTGTCTTTCATTCTACCCATCCAACTCATCAAAAAATTCCATTAGCTCTATCATCAAAATAATCCACCATCCAACCATTTCTCACTATCTCCACCATTACCCCTCTGTCTAAACTACCAACATCATATGTTCTTCTCTGTCCTAAACTTYTTCTCCTACTCTCACGCCACTCTTCTTTTTTCACATGCTTAAGCATTGATATATGCCAGCTGCTGAGGTCAGTGTTTAATGCATATTGCCCTATTTAGTCCTAGAAATAACTACACAAAGGCAACATTGTCATTATAATCTTTTTACATGTAGGAAAATGAGACTGATAGAAATCATCCAAAGAGAAAGGGGTAGTAGTCTTCTGATGAGCCAAGGTGCAACTGAAGAACACCTGCATAATCAAATAGTTCCCCTCCTCCTCTGCTATGTGCTCACATCAATAGGTGTGGGTTCCTCGGTCTGCTACTACCATTATTGCATTGAATGATCATGGTCTGTCTATGCAACTGTCTTCCCCCATTAAACTGTTGAAATCTAAGGAAATAATTACTGTTAGTAACAGATATTTATTCATCATCTACCATGTGCTGTGCATTTACTCATTCATCACATTCCACAGCGTCTGTTATGTATCAGGCACCACACCCTGGAGCTGGGAATTTAGTGTGGGCAAAACATAAAAAGACCCTGACCCTTTGGAGCCAAGTATACATAGGAATTAAGAGAAACTTGAGGACAGAGAATGTGAAAAAAAAAATCAGCTAGGGGAGCTGAAGATACAGATAACTAGAGATGAATGATTATGTGATAAGTTCAGCCATCCTARTGTGTTTTCTTCTGGCCATRTTCAGTTGCTCTGGTTCAAGTGAAAACTGAACCAGGTAGCAGACCATTGCGTTATGTTCTTTATAGGTATCATCTCATTTAAATTTCACAACAACCTTGTAGGCTACTTTCCTCCTGCATTTTCCAGACAAAGAAGATGAACTTTGAGAGTTTCTCAGTTTCTGAAGATCATGCAGATGGTAAATATTGGAATTCATATTTGAATCCAGATCTCTCACATTCAAATTGTGAGTCAGTAAGTTTAAAGCAAGGTCTCTATAAAATGGAAATTGCACCCTATCTCTATATGAGCTTAGAAAGCTTTCAATGAATGAATGTCAGAAATAAAGTAAATGAGGGGGAAGAACTCTTGGCTAGCAATCAGTTCATACCATTCTCATTGACCAAAATGTTAATAGAAGTCAACAGAGCTGAGGCTGACATAAAAGACTAATTAGACATTGGCTGCATTATTTAAATTATAGTAATAAACTAGCCCACCACGAAAGAAGGGACCAAATCACATTTATAATATTATGTCCAATTCAGGACACTCACACTGTCATGGGGCATCAGCACACTTGAACACATGATCCAAAGAAAAACAGAGAGGGTGATCAAGGGTCTGGTACTCATAAAACCTGGCATAGAATGGAAGAAGAAAGAGGATACTCAGCCTCAAAAAAGCTTAGCACAGTTGCTGTCTTTGTGGACATTCCCAAAATTTCTGTATTGTGTAACGTAGAATTGGGGTTTAAAAAAAAAAAAAAGGTGACATGGGAAGATTGTGCTTTACAGAAAAGACTTGGAACAGTCAGAAACTATATTCATAGAGGTGTGTCCTGGGTAATTGAAAGGGAAAAGAGGGTGTTTTATAAACTTTTTGTGGATGTTATAGTGGGTAGCCAGAGCAAGGACAGAAGGTGAGKCTGACTCGTTTCCCCTGCCTACCCTAAGGAAGTCTAGGATGGTGATCTTTTTTTTCCTGAGCTGCATCAGTGCTCACTTTCTTTCACTATACAATTCCTTTCCTCAATGTCTGGAGTCAAATTGTGTGGGTGATCCAGTTCTGACAGATATTAGCTATGTGATATTGGGCCAATTATCTCAGGTCTCCTCTTCATCTATAAAATGAAAATAATAGAACATATTCTGTAAAGTTGTTGTAAGGGTTACATGAAGTCATCCATATACAGTGCTTATGCCTGAAATCGTAAGTGCTCCATAAACATTAGCTCCCGTTATTTAAAAAATTATCCATTGTGTACTGTGTCACCTCACCGTTTTACGTGTTCCTCTTGTTTACTCCAGTTATCTGGTCATTCTTGTCATGAGGATGAGCATATAGACTATCCTAGGTACTTAATAGTCCAAAAGCAAAATGTGTTGCTTTCCATTCAAGCAGGATAAATTTGTTTAGATGTCTCATTTATACTTTCTGAGGGATATTTTTAGAGTCTGATGGGATTATTACCTAGAGAAAGAGTTTGATAGATTTCTCCATCTTCCAAAATACTAAGATGTTCTCAGACACAATCCCATTTTTAAAGGTGACTTCTAGTCTTTAGTCATCATTAGGAAGTAAGCAAAGACTTATTAAGGATCTAGAAACTATAGGATTTCTAAAAACTCACTAGGTACCATCCTTGAACTATATACCTGGGGATGAGTGGGGGAGAAAGAAGCAATATTGGTGAAGAAATAAAGATAAATGGCATGACCCCCATAGTTCATGAAGGACTTATAATCTAGAGAAAAGTGGAGATGAAGTCCTGCCTGACCCAGCCCTACTCCACTTCATCTTATCTGACACACTCCCTCTGGCTGCCTCTGCCCTAGTTTCAGTGACTCTGAGTTTCTCCAGAAAGCTAGGAGATGCTCCGTCTCTCCCTGTCTCTCCTGCTTGCACATTCTTCTCCCTGTCCTTTGTATGAAGGTTTTCTCTTACTCCTTGGCATTTGGTTTAAATAATTGCTCTTCAACTTGGCTTTTCTTGACCGACACATGTCAATAAGTTCCCCACCTCAACCCCAGCCATTGTTTTTTTATTGTCATTGACCCCACTGGTTATACACATAGCACTTGCCAATTTTTTTTATTCTTTATGTTTTTCTATCTGCTTCTTTGTTTATACACCATTTTCCCCTTACAAAGGCAGCTATCACATGTACTTTGTGTGTATGTGTGTGTGTGTGTGTGTGTGTGTGTGTGTGTGTGCATTTGATCTCTTGCCCCCAAAGGGCATTTGATAAATATGTATTAGGTATAATTTCAACATCATGAGGTAAGCACTGGGACTGAGATATGTACCAGTGCTGGGAGGCCAGAGGATACAGGCATCTAACCCACCTTTAGCAGATTCAGGAGATTTCCAGAAGCAGGGCATTGCAGAGGTTGTTGGTGCCCCTCAGCACTCATCCTACACAAGCCAGCACCTTCCAACTGCGAAACTGCCACTTGCCTTCCCTGTATGGGGGAGCATGCTTGGCTTGCACATAGGGAAGACCAGAAAGACCCAGGAGTGAAGAGTGGGTGTTTGGGCCTCTGCATCTCCTTGCACCATAGCTGGGACACCCCTAGAGTATAATTCTACAGTCACTCTATAAGGTCCCACAGTGCTGAACTCATTGCCCAAAGCCATAACCCACTCACTGAAACTCTTTCCACRGGCTTTCTACTCTCTTGCATCCCCATCTCTTATTAGTGCTTCCAGGGCTAACTCTTTTTCATCTTTGAATCCTCCTCTCAGGAATACCTCAACCTAAGAGACAACAAGTAACCAGAATCTTGAAAGACACATAGAGTTCCCTGAACACAAGGTGAAAGAATATCCAAAAGAAAGCAATCTTTCAAATAGTGCTGGAAAAGAGAATTGAAGCCCTATTTCCTTCCTTTCGGGTGCCTTTTCTCTAATAGCAGTCAGATTTTGGTTTTGGTAGGGCCCTTCCAAAGTATTCCTAGAAAAGACAGTACAAGATTGGCTGATGCTCATGATGCCATTTCAGAGCCAGAAGCTGAATTCAGTGCAGGTAGACAGAAGGTCCTAAACCCCTGAAATAACACATTGCAAACCAACATGCTGTGCTCATAAATTTTTAGCTAAATAACTTCTTTGTGTCTTTTCCTTTTTGAAACATAACTCAGGCCCCTGGAATGTGGTGCTTAACCCTCACAAGGAAACCTGTACAAATGGTTCCTTGAAAGCCAGTATGTAGCCTGTTCATAAATTTTATGATGTGTGAAGCACATGTTCAAGGAAGTATTTATTAGTAAGACCATAAGTTAAATTAGGAAGGGTGGTTCATACCTTAAATATGCCATCATTTTCCATTCAGTTCATGTATTCAGACCCAATCGTGAAACTTAAATTTGTTTTTAATGTATTCTCTTGACAAATGATTTACTCTAGTCAGATGTATTTTCTTTTGGCTCCCCTGATAGTTAGGTTTTGCAGTTGGTAGGAAATAGGAAAATGTTCTTAAATTACTCTTTCAAGGTTAAAGTTTTAATATTGTGTGCAGATATCACAGAATAATTTTCCCGCTAGAGTTAATGAAATAGAGTACTACTACTTCTCTCTGAAAATTGGCGTTTTATATTCAAGAGAGCATGATGATTTTGGAAACTGGCTAGTCACAGGACTATCTCTGAATGTTTGAGTGGTTCCTATTCAGTAATAGGTTCTGTGATAAGCTTTGTCCCTTGGTTTTGGATTTCTGCAAACCTCCTGCAAGGGCATTCCAAAATGAGAGCTATGGTTAAAAAAAATTAGAAGTTCTACAGAACTTAAGAACTATTGCAACTGTATTCTTGACATTAACATTCTGAAAGCTGTATGTTATTTATAATGTGGTCTGTGCTATATATTTTATTGACAGGCTTGTTTCTTTACCAGAGTCTCTGATATGTGAATATGCTTAATTTTACATATTTAAAGAGTAACATTTATTACAAGAATCTAAATCTTTCCATAGTCCTAAAATTAAAAATAGTGGAGTTTTGTGTGTATGCATTATTTTATAATGGAAAAAAAATAACTCATATATAAATAAAAATTCTTGCAAAGGTGTTATAAAAAGTATACTCTCAAGAAAATAAAAAAAACATGCCATAAATATATATAGTATGTTCCTTAAACAGAGCTTTCTAAAATATACAAATAAGTCATAACACAAACTCAAAAGTTTTAAAAACAATTAGATCTTGTGAAAAAACTTTTAAATCTCTGTTTATTATATCTTACTATCACACAGTCATTGAAACTCTCTGAAAGGTGATACTGGCCTTAAATAAAACCAAAAAGGAATGGATCAGTGAAATACATTGGCATGAATTAAAGAAGCTAAAGTTAGCTGATTTTTAAATGTGCAGAGCTTTGGCTCATTTCACAAAAGGTAAACAGTGATGTTGTTGCAGGGTTATGCAATGAGCCCTATTCCTAATGTTTTCTCTGCATTTAAAATTCTGACAGGGAGCCAAGGTTTATCATTAAATGCCCATGCTCAAACAAGTTCAGACAAAGTGTTCCTCATTTAACTTGCCCTACTTTCTGTATTACCTAGTAGACTTCCTTTATAAAGGTAGGATAAGCTATGGACATTTAGACATAGGATTCAAAAATGCCTATGATGACAGAACTTCAATGTATCAAGAGTTTATGTACAATTTTTGAAATTACAGACCTGGGGACCTGTCACCTGGATTTGACCAGCTCTGCAAATCATTAGCTATGTGCCTTGGACATCTAGTTCCTTCGTTATAGCATGGAAATTCTGAAAGCATACACCCCATGTATTTGTTGTGGAGCTAAAAAAAAGTTTGTAAAACTTGTAGCAGTGGGATTGCTCTTAGAAAATATTCAGCAAATATTAATATTTTTATTGTTATTATGGGTCTACTCTGTGCCAGGCATTATGTTAGACACCTTGCATAATCTCATTGCATCGTCACAAAAGACCTACAAGATAAATATAATTGTCCCTAATTTACAAATTAAAAAACTGAAACTCAGAGAAGAGCCCAAAAAACTTGCTAGTAAGAAGAAGAACAATGAATAAAACCCATATTAGGACATCCCAGTTCTGCCCATGTCACCAGTCATATGTGTCAATTTAAATTTAAATTAATTAAAATTTAATAAGGTAAAAAATTAGTTTTTCAATTCCATTAGCTGGATATCAAGTCTCAACAGCCATTGGTTGCTAATAGCTATGGCACTGGATGGTGCAGATAATAGAATTCCATGAATTCAGAAAGTTCTAATGAACATCACTGTAATCTATACCAGTCTGTCTAGACTGACTTACAATATCAAAAAATGTGTTTTCTAAAAATTATAGTAAATTTTTGTTAATAAGTTACAAAACCTTGGTGATAAAGACGATGCATTTGTTATAGATACACATACAGACAGTAGCTAATTCCATCCAACAGGCTKCATAAGAATGGAAAACATGTATTTGCACAGATTAGCACCGTGCCAGAATACTAGAAAAATTCTCAGTGGTAGTTTAGGCAAATTTTTACCCAATGACAAAAACTAATGGTGATGGAAAATCTAAAGCCAGTATGAAAATGCCAAATGATTCTCTAACATTCATCCAGCTCTAGTACTATGTGGATCCCTAATTTTCTTCTGAGACTCACTAAGATAAAAATGTTCTCACATTTTCTTTTAYATTTCTGAATATAGTCTGTATAGAAATTAACTTTAGAAGGAAGATGGTGACTGGTTATCTACTCCCATAACACTGATATTTGCCCCAGGAAATTTTTCTCCTAGCTGGAAACCAAATGACCTTCCTAGACAGGCAATCAATATGTAATACACATGACATTTATCATCTTCTTTTTGCAGACCTTTTTGATTGACATCAGATATTACAATGTAGGGCTTAAAATGCAATGAGGAAATGGGAGTGTTAAAGCAAACAACCACATAATTTAATATTCAAAACAAAGCCAAGTAGATTCCTCCTTTGAACAGAGTCTCTTTCATATAAAGCCAACTCTGTTTGACTTTAGAAGAAGAAATGCTTGAGGCATGAAGGAACACACCTGAGTAACTTCATGCATGTAAAAGAATAGATGGCATTATAGAGTTTTAGATAAAGATCAGAAGACCTGATACCTCTTAAACCTTCATCAACTATGGTATATATTCTATTGTGTTTTTTATTTATATATTTTTGTTGGTACATTATAATGGTGGTATCTGTTCTTACATTCTCATATATACACACAGCATAACAATATAATCTGGTCAATTTAAATCATCAGTGGCTCTCTTTTCTTTTCCTCATCCTTTCCCCTGAACTCCTTCCACTACCTCTACTGGTCATACTGTGTTTTAATTGTTAGCTTTCATGTCTGATTCTCCCATAGACTGTGAGCTCCTTAAAACCTACTGCCTATCCATAGTTGATTGTGACATGGTAAAATGTTGGATTTATTGAAAAGATAAGTGAACAAATAATTATTGGGTAGCTAATATGCTCAAGAAATGCCATCCTACTCTCAAAAAAAAAAAAAAACAATTAAGATAATTATCCTGAAACCTCCATACCTCATGGTTTCTACTGCCTCATCCAACCTTCTCTGGTCTAATGCAACATGGCCCATGCTTTCCTTTGCCAAGGTGACTTGGTTACTATTTTGGTTAGTCCCACAGAGAGTAAAGAGTTAAAGTGAAAAATTAGGAAACAGTAACTAGGTAACTCTTTGACTTGCTAAAATGATATAGTAAGTCACTTGAGCCTTTAGAATCTCTTCAATACTAAAGAGAATTAATGCATCTGCCAGGTAAGCTTAGTTTGGAATTTAGATCTTGAAAATTCTAGTTCATTATGCAAGCTTTCATGATTAACAACCTAGAAACATTGGCAATATATGCATTAATCACTTAATTTGGACTTCCTGAATAAACTCACCTACTTACTCCTGCAAATGTCCTCATGCAGCTAACTGGTAGAAGAACAAGAAGAAGTGGCTCAATAGCTGCCCATATCTTTGCACTACTGAAGCTACTGATTCCTAAAGGAACTCCTACTTCTGAAGAGCCAGCCATGATGACACCAAAGAGAAAATGATTCATAATTCACAAGTACAAGTGGCACTGACCCATTCTTCATTCTTAAACCAAGGGCTCTAGGGTTGGTTTCCATAATGTAGTATATTCCTCAGTTAGAAAAGGGAGTGCTGCCCAGGATAATATTGAGATCATATGTTCTCATTCTATCACTTGTTAGGAAGGTTTGCCTTTCTAAGGCAATTTCCTTCCCAAGAAAGGAAGAAATGAAATGGATTAACTAGCATTTGGTCCTTCCTGAATCAGTTGTTAGTATCTGAGTTGTTTCCCTTGGAAAAATTATATTTCCTCAGTGCTCCATTTCCTTTGGCAAAGCCTAGTTTGCAAATCAAATACTGTTTACATTTGTTTTTCATTATATTTTCTCAGGTCAACATTTTGATAAGCATTTAATCATCAGGAAGGAGAGGGTTAAGGAAAGGCATTTGACTTTTATATCCTGCATATCACCTCCAAAGCCATCTATGCCTCCCAGGAACACACCTTCATCTTTCCTTCACTATGACCAACTCTAACTGACTCCAAAGAACAACATGATCCCAGAGACAGTCTTATAGCTTTTAATCAGGTGAAATAAGAGAAAGAAAGGACTGTACCTACCCTCCTAACAGAATAAGCATATGATATTCTAGTCCACCATTCTGATTTTATCATCCATTTGGAGTTAAGAAATAGAACTTAGCTGGTAACACTCAGAGTGTCTCAGAGTCACTTCTAAGCAGTATCCTGGAAGGGAATTTCTAAGAACATAGTTAAACAACATTCCCTCAATAAATGTAGTATGCTGAATACTGATTATGTGCCAGACACAGTTGTAGAAGAGGCATATCATAGAATGGCATGGCTCCCAGGAAGCTAGGCCTGGTGACAGGCATTTCTGGTATAACTAGCATTTAGTAATCTCCATGATCAATGGAAGATCAACTCTAGTGACCTAGTCCCTTCTCTAAGGTTCCTGTCTTATATGAAACCAATGTAATCCCATATGATTTTGTTTTCTTAATTCACAGAACGTCAATACTGGGGTTCAGAGCTCCAGCTACCTACTCTAAGTTTTGAAGATGTTTTAAAAAATGATGAACATGCATACAAGTGGCTCTCCAGCCTCAAGAAAGTAGGCATTGTGCGACTCACCGGAGCATCTAACAAGCGAGGAGAAGTAACAAAACTTGGGAAAAGGATTGGTTTCCTCTATCTCACATTTTATGGGTGAGTTACCAAATGTTTTGTATTCTGCCATCACAAAGACAGTTTGATATATTTTCCAAAGTGGGTACTCGTTTGGTTGAATATACAGTAATGTCCGTGATGTCTTAGGAAGTCACATGGAAAGAAGAGTCTAAAAGAAGRATTTCTCTGAGAATGACTAGAATTTTTAAAGAGCCCCAAAGCTCAAAGACCTCAAGTAACAAAGACATCAGGCTAGTTACATGTAGTGTATTACTCAAGCTGCCGTAACAAAATACCACAGACTGGGTGATGTAAACAACAGTAATTAATTTTTCTCACAGCAACTGGAAGTCCAAGATCAAGGTAGTAACTGACTAGCTTAGTTTATGGTAGGGCTTCTTTTACTGGTTTTCAGCTGATTCTCTTGTTTATCTCCATGCGGCCTTTCCTCTGTGTATAGCATATTCCTACTGTCCCTTCCTCTTCTTATGTAGACAACAAGTCTTATTGGGTTAGGTACTACCCATAAAATCTTATTTAAACTTAATTACCTTGTTCAAGGCCCTATCTCCAAATACATTGGATGTTTGGGTTCCACAGATGAATCTGGAGGACACAATTCAATTCAAAACAGGTAGGATGAAAGATTATGTTTCTCTAAGACYTTTAAAAAGCACTCAACTTCATAAATGTTAAAGTTGATTAAAGTTCTACCTCTCAAGAGTTGGCACAAAATAACGTTGGATCCTAGGGAATTGAAACCAGCCACCAGATGTTGTAAAAAGATAAAATTAACATCCAGAAAACTGAGCCTATGTGCTTTAGTATAACAGGAAATATAATTAATTTTAACTATGGAATAAGAAGCTATTTTCATAAGAATTTCCTACAAAGTAACATTGATTAGGACATATCTGAAAGACGGGGGAGTGGGTATAACTGAATTTCTAAAGGTTAGGGTGAGCACCTCATGCAAGATGGATACCATTATTTTTGGACTCAGAGCATTGGAAGTAGGAGAGACCTTCAAAATCCAAAGGTCGAAAACTGGTAGCACACAAGCTGTATTCAGATATGTTTGGTTTGGCGCACATGATGTTGAAAGAAAATGGAATTAGTTGTCAACACTTAAAAACTGGAAGTCTTTAAATTTATATGGATCTGCCTTTTTCTTGAGAAATCAAATCTAGCAACAACTGAGCCCACAAGCCAGCATAGGACCAGTCTGCTGGATACAAGTAGAGGCTGTGCCTGGAAGAGTTTGCCAAACACCACCCCATCCCAGGACTTAAGGGCCTTGCTAGCTTTTGAATTTGCCACCCCAACCTAGAGTAAGACATTGTTTTAGATTAAAAAAAAAAGTATCAGAAAAATTTAATCAACTTCCTTTAATAAATTATGCAAGTTTATTAAAGGCAGAACACTCTATCTACCATGTTGAGACWTGAACAACCTAGTCTCCATCTCCTTCCTAAGAATTTGTTTATGCCATTAGTATATTTACATCATATAAAATTTTTTTGCATCCCCTCCATCTGCAAGAATTTGGGCTGCCATAAAAATTACATCACTAAAAACAAAGGAAATAGGAGAAATATACTTGAAATCATTAAGAACTTCAAGTGTATTATTTCTCTGATTCTTACAAGATCTCTGAAATAGATATTACCCACCAATTCACTGGTAAGGAATCTGGAACCCAAAGAATTTATTTGTAACCCAAGTAATAATAAAGGAATGAAAAAGTGTAAATTTGGGCTTTCCTCTTCATGTTTCCAATGTTAATATATATAAAGAATATACATGGGAAAGGTGTATTTGGTCACTATGATTAAACAAAACACTTCAAAATAAATTTATTTCATTTAGTTTTTATTTGCTAATAACACTTTTTGATATATTCCAACACATTGCACAATTTCATAACCATGAGCAAATTCAGGGGCTCTTTTCTGCAGTTCCCTATCTCCACCCATCCATCCACCCATCTCACTAGAGCTCAGAATCTTAGTCCTGATTTRTGATTTGTCTTTTGTTTTGTTTTGTTTCTACAGGTCCTATAAAAGGACTGAATAACTTGGCCACTATCTAATATTGTGAAACTTATTGGAATAAATATTAAAGGTCTGTTGTCAAAACAAATCAGACCTCCTACTACTATTYCATTCCCTATATCCAGGGCTTTCCCATCTAACCAACAACGTTGATCTGCCCCATCTCACCTTCCACAGATGATCAGATTTCTTCTCAGAATCTCAAACAATACACAAGCAAAGAAATGCCTTTCTTGCCATATGACCCCTAATCCACCAAGGATTACCAAAATCAATCTCTCTCTCTCTCTCTCTCTCTCTCTCTCTCTCTCTCTCTCTCTCTCTCTCCTATTTTTCTCTTTCGCAATTTTTAATCCTCTACCTCAAGAACTTAGAAAAGAGTTATGTTGTTACTGCTGTTGTTTTGTTTGCTTTTTTTTTTTTTTTGCTGTTGTTAAGAGAATGAAGTATGTGAATATTTTCTCCAAAGTCATCCCTTTTTTCTTGTCCTCTTCACAGTAATGTGGCAAAGTGATATTGAGATTTGGGTAATATGAGATTTAAAAGAATATCAAGGAATATCCCTTAGCATGCTAATGTCCCTTAATATTCTGAATTAGCTAAAAGAGGGAGTCTCAACCAGGACTGAATATTGGAATAACCAGTTTTTAAAATTCACACATCTGGGTCCTATCTCCAAAGATTTTTTTTAACAGGGCTGATATTTGATCTAAGTAAATTTGATTTGATTTAAAAACCAAGCAGATGAGCCACAAGCAATGGCATGTGCCTTTAATCTCAGATACTCAGGAGGCTGAGAAACAAGAATCACATGTTCAAGACCAGCCTGAGCAACTTAGTGAGACCCTGTCTCAAAACAAAAAGTAAAAAAGGGGTCTAGGAATGTAACTCAGAGGTATAGTGCCCTGGATTCAATATCCGGTGATGAAAACAAAAACAAAAACAAAAACAACTCATCAAGTGATTCTGCAAAGTTGAAAACCTCCAATTGAAAGGAAGGGTTACTTCAAGACAGGCAGGTCTCAATTGCAATAGAAGTTGGGTGTTTTACATTTTCTGAACTCTCAACTCCATGCACTAAATAACATGGATCAAGTTCTTCTTTCTATGTTGGTTAGTTATGTCTGGGCATGGCTTATCTTTATAACAGAATTGACACCTGCTTTAAACAAGGTCACTATCGTTCAGATATTTGTTTCTATATTGTAAATTGTCATACTCTTGTTTGAAAAGCAACTGGCTGATGAGTGAGTGAATGGAATAAATAAATGAAGACAATAAATAATGCAGAAGAGGGACTATCAAATATAGAAGAGGATCAGAGAAAGGAAAGTGAGAGCAAGTTCAATGAAAACTTTGCTTTTCATGCAAATTTGTCAAGGAACTTTCTGAGGGTTCTTGCTTAGATGCCAAAAACAATAGTAGCTTATTGTAGGTGTCAATTTCACATGCCTCCCTAGGGAAATGAATACCCATCTTGCACTTTTCCATTCAAATAGCTACTAGTTGGGGCTGGGGTTGTGACTCAGTGGTGGAGTGCTCCCCTAGCACGTGTGAGTGAGGCCCRAGGTTCTACCCTCAGCATCACATAAAAATAAATAAATAAAATAAAGATATTGTGTCCAACTAAAAAATAAATATTTTTTAAAAATCAGCTACTAGTTTGGAGAATTTTAAAAGCATGGGTCCAAAATGAGAAATGAGAATAGCTATTTTTAGTTCTTGGCTGTCATCTCAATTGTTAAATGTTTGATTGGAAGAAAAAACAAATGTGATTCCAGAATTTCACGTAGTCTTCACATAAAGGAGGCAAGAAATAAGTGTTTTGTGAATAAATGCATTTCTAGATATTTTTAAAGAACTATAAAAAAGCAGATTAATACAATAAGTATTAGAGCATTTCATAATCATAAACTTATGTTCAACTAGATCAAAATGGTAATAGATTAAGGAAAAAAAGCACACGTCATTTTCCACATCTGCGTTTTCTCAGATGCTTGTCATTATTTTGTCATCACATCATCTAGGCAATATTTTTTTCTTCATGCAACCATGTGAAATTCTTAGTAACCCTAATGCCTTGATGATGAAAGCTTTCCCGGAATAGAAGTAAAGAGCTAGTAAAGAAAATTCCACTCTCAATTTTGTTAAATATTGATCAGGAGAGTAGTATGTAAAAAAAAAAAAAAAAAAAAAAAAAAAAGTTTACCTTTTTAGAAGAATTTAAACCTTTGGTTTGCAGTAATGTAGTTTTTACAAAGTGGAGTAAAAATTCTCATCCCATTTCTTCCCCTTCCCACTTAAAAAAATGATAACAATAACTTTCGGAAACCCTTTTGGGAAAGGTGATATTGGTGAAAAAAAATATCTGAATTTTGTAACATGATTTAACCCAATAAGTAGTCACCATAAGCTATCTTCTATCTGTATACTGATATCTTCAATAACTACATCAAGAATATTTTCAAGTATGCATCCTACAAATTAAACGTTCCCCCCCACACACTAAAAACAAAACAAAACATAAAAACCACACTACAATTGCTCTCATAAAGAATTTTTTAAAATACTTTGTGTTTGGGATTTTGTTCTAAAATAGGCCTGAGTCTGGAAATGGTGGTCTAATCCAGATCATGTCTTTAGTATTAACTCAATGCAAGGGGAGTTATCTGTCATGAAATTTTAGTGAAAAGGGAATGCATGTATGCTGAGATACTGAAAATTTCCATTGGGGCAAAACAATAAAAATTCTTTTCTTAACATTGTTGACCTAAGTCCTCAGTTCAAAAATCAACCTTACCAGCAACTCAAAATGACTCTTCTTCATCAAAAAGTCAAGTGGAAGAAAATCACCTTTCAACCTTAGCTAGAAAAACTGTTTTCTTCCTAGAATTGGACTCAGAAGTTCAGATTTGCTTTTTTTTTTTTTCTAAGAATGTATAATTGGCTGGTGCAAGCAATTTGCATTGTTAATACATGGTTAAG